TCTCCTTGAAGATGAGAGAGTTGATTTATCCATGATGAGCAACAGAGACAGAAGGAAGGGAGGGAAGAGGCGGTTCCGTTGGGGAAAACTGGAGGAGGACATGAATGTGTTGAACATGGGGCCATATAATCCATTTGGGAGATGCTGAGGCACTTAGCCCAACAACTGTAGAAGGCGGATGTGTGAGGGAATGGTGCCACCGCACATAGGCAGGTGGTCATGAGAGAGGGATTTGGAGTTCCCCCGAAAGCTGGACAGAAGTATAAAGCTGATATGACTGGGATGAGGAGGGGACATGGTGAGACCAGCACTGTAGTCCCATTGGCCCAGCGGGGGCTAGGTGCTGTGTGTTGTCACCGATGTTCTGTTCTGGAGGTGAAGAAAATCTATCCATCTAGACGTAGCCGGTAGATCAGGGGAGAGTTACGGTACTAGAGGGCAGAAGGTCGAAGGGAAGAAGGGCCCAGGCCTTGGGAAAGGATGACATACCAGAACTCACAAGTAAACACCCAGGGCAAGCCAGGGCTTGCCCCTCTGGTTCTCTGCTCCATTCTTGCCTAGAACAGTGCCCAGCACAGAAGGAGTCCTCATAAGGACTGAACCAAGTTTACTTTGGCAAAATTTCTGTACAGAGTTCAACAAATCTCTCTTCCTTTTGCAGGCCTCAGTGTCAACTCCCTCAGATAGGCCTATTTTTTCAAGTCTGCCTCCTGGTCATTTAGGGCCAGGTCAGGCCAGGACGCCATGTGAGCCTCAACAGCTAGCCGTCCGGAGCCTCGCTGAGGCCTGGAAGGATTGCCACTTGAGATCCTAGTTAGTCATCCTGGCAGCTGCTTCCTGTCGCCCTTCCCTGGGTGACTTCGCTTTGGGCCTTCTGGGGTGGTAAGAGGATATTGTCTGGACTCATCAATTATTACCACGGGAAGGCAGCTTGCACAGAAGCACGTGTCCCCTCGCCACGTCATCAGCCAAATGAATGCAGTCAGGCTGGGAGGGAGGGGGACTGACCTGAACCACATACTGCCCAACAGTAGCTCACAGTCTAGCTTCATTCACGTAGGAATCAATGTCTGGCACATTTTCACTGCTGGAGATACAGACAAAACTGCTGAGGCAGGGGACCAATCATTGAGATAAGCAAGGTGGGCAGTAAGAAGTGCCAAGGAAAAAGCAGAGGGGTGGGGAATGGAATGTGATAGGGGTTTACAGTGGTAGAGAGTGTGGTCAGGGAAGGTCTCGGGGAGAAAGTGACATTGAAACAATGGCCTGAGCAGAAAGCAGGAGGGAGCACTAGACTATCTGGGTGAAAAGTGGTGCAAAGGTCCTGTGGCAGGAGTGACCCTGGCATGTTGTAGGAACAGTGAAGAGTGATGTGAGACGAGAGCAAGAGGAAACGAACCCTGAGAGATCCGAGGGGTAGAGGCTGTGCGAGGTCTCAGAGTGCACCGTGGGAGGCCTTTGGCTTTTTTTCTTCCCACACACTGCTCATTGTTGAATTCATGATCCTGCCTTTTCCTGTTGATTCTCAAGGGTGCTGAGACTTCTGTGGGCAGAAGGCAGAATAGGGCAGCCAACAGGATTCTTGAAAGCACATAGCTGTGGTGTGGGCAGCAGCCTGGGCCACCTGTGCTGGGCCCACCCCCATGCCCCTGCTCCAGGAGTCCTTCAGGCTGAGAGGGCAATGTGGCCTCCCATTTCATGGTCAAGAGAGAGAGCACAGATGCAAAGTTAAGCCAAATTAATCTAGTACGTAGAATCTGCAAAATGTCACAGGGGAGCAAGTTCATAGCTGAAGCAAGAGCAAAGGGCTGAGTCCAAGGCCAGCAGTACTGTGCATGGCTGTGCGAAGAGTAGAAGCAAGTACATTTATACAGCAGTGCCTGGCAAAACAGTGATGTCCTAATGGTGATCCATTTCATTCTAATTCCTAATGTCCTATGCTCCCTGCCAGCTCTCTGTGCCCACATGCATGAGGCCTCTGCTCAGACTGGTTTCGCAGGCATCACCATGGATGCCGGGTCCTGGGTGGGCAGCTGAAGCAGGTAGGCAATGAGCACTGTTGTTTACAGCACTGTTGTTTACACTGTTGCTCTTGCCTGCAGGGGCTCCCACCCCCCAGAAGGAACTGTTACATGTCCTGGGGCAGAGCCAGGTGGGCAGATCCATTTCCCCTGGGGAATCTCAGCTTCTCCCGGTGACCCGGCCCTTCTGCTCTGAGAGGGTGTGGGCAGAGCCTGGATGGTGGGCCAGACTATTGTCAGAGTTCAGTCAGTCTGGTCTTGAACTCTGGCTCTGGCCGGGATCTTCATCCATGTGCCTTCTCTCTCTCCCCCAGGACAATCCGGTTCCAGAGTCCAGATCAAGTCAATTTCACAATCTCTTATTAATTCCTAGCTGCCAGGCACTTTATCTCCTGCGGCGAATACTAAGATTGACAAGGAATGAATGTTCCCTGCAGAGACACTGAATCTATTGTAAGTGTGGGGTGCAGGCGTTCATGTGTGTGCACATGAACTCACATGTGCTCGTGGGAGGCAACCTGGGATATTAGTGGGAAGAAGCCGGAGTTAGAGTGAATTGGTTTTGTCCCAAGTCACCCAGTTCAAGGCACAAGATACCACCTCACAAAGGTGGGAAGATCCTGCCTGTTCTAGGACATAGGTAGGATATGGTCTTATCTTTATAACAAATAGAAAAATTAAAAGAAGCTTGCACATGTATATGTGTACGAAAAGATCTGGAAGGACACCTGACAAGCAGCCACTGCGGTTAGCCCTGCCCCCCACCCCCGGCCCTGGGAGTGGAAGGAAGCAAGCAAGAGGAAGAGGCTCTTTTTCCCTTATGCATGTCCTTATTCTTTTTTCTCCAAGAAGCACACGCTACTATGTAATTTTTTGTTCCAATGAATAAGTGTAAACTAAGCTAGTGAGGCAGAGTCAGGGTTTAAATTCAAGCAACCAGCTGCCCCTGGGGCTCATCTGGTGGAGAAGATAGCACACACACCCACAGAGAAGAACCACAGCCAAGGTCGCTGGACAAGGACAGTGCGAGATGATTGGTTCAGAAGTCTGGGGATGGGAATGACCACTGAGCCATGGTGCCGATGAAAAAGAAGGACAAGGACCTTCTAGGCAAGGGAACTTTAGAGGGGAGAGAACAAAGCCCTGAATGGTATTAGAGACAAATGCAGGGCTGGAAGGCTCAAGCAGGTGAGTGCTAGGGACCGAGTGGAGATGTGAAGAGGAAGCAGCTGCAAGGACAAGGAACTGAAATTTGATGTGGAGGAATTGAATAACTGGGACTTTGAAGCGAATGATCTAGTAGGCAGTTTCCAAAGTGTGGTTCCAGGACACCCATGTGTCTTCAAGAACTTTCTGGGGGTCTGTGCATTTAAAACCATTTTCACGGTAATCCTAAGATATTATTTGCCTTTTCTATGCTGAGTGTGCAGTGGAATTTTCCAGAGGCTACATGATACATGCTGGCATCACCACTCTGATGTTAACATGCAATGGATTTTATTTTGTTTTATTTTTATTTTATTTTATTTTATCTTATTTTGGGGGGTGTTTCTTTTTAATAAAGTAATAAATATTTTTACAATTTCCCACTTAAACATTGAACGCAGTAACTACTGATAGATCCAACCCATACAAAGAAAACTCTTTGGGATCCTCAATAATTTTAGCGCACTCCAATATAAAACTCCGTGTGCACAGCTCTGTGTATGTGCACATGCCTGTGTGTATGTCAGTGAATAAATGGGCTTTTTTCCTGGGGTGGGAATCCAAAGTGCTCATTCGATTCTCTAAGTGGTGATACACCAAATGCAAAAGTGGGAAATGGTTGGCTTGAAGGGGTAGAAAAATCAAACACCAGGACTGAGCAGTGGTCCACAGGAGGCAGGTTTGGGGGGCAGTGGCATGGGTTTAGAGGAGTACCATAATCCCTTTGTTTGTCTCCAATTTGGGAATAATAACATTGGTCTATCGACTTCAGCAGGAAGGTGTATGTGAACACACTTTGCACATCAGAGATGACTCAGAGACCATCAAAATCTATGCCAATGTTAGTTTCTAAAATCTGTGGAATTCAAGTTTCTGAGACCTTTGCACCCTGACCTCTACCCTTGCTGCAGCAAAGAAAGAACGTGTGAAGTCTTAGGTTGGTGTTTGCAATTTCTCTTCCAGTCACATTCTGGGGGATGGAACCCAGAGAAAAGACTTAAACAAAGATCTGGGCCTGTCTCTTGATTGGGGTAATACCTGCACGTGCGTTCACACATCACTTGTTCTTACATTGTCTGGCTGAGGGCCTGCCTGGCAGCTTGGTTAGACTCCTGCCTAGAAGTGGGATGAGATGAGAATAGGCTGGGACTTGTTATTTACCCCCAAAGGAGCTAGTTCCCAGAGACTTAACTTCCCTCTCTCGCCATAGGTAACTTGCACAATTGCTTCAATATCCTTCCTATGGGAAATGGTAATCTTATTTTCCTTTGCTTCTTTCACAGGCCTCGGAATATTGAATATTTAATAGGGAGTGTGTGCCCTTGCGAGGCCAGGTGTGAGGAAGGGGCTGGAATCAGGACCCAGGCCTCCTTGGACAACGATTTTGGGCAGGCAAGGTAAGAATGACAAATGCCAAGTGGTCCATGACAAGGGGAGCTCTCCTCTAATACAGGTTGCAGTTGAGGAAAAAGAGATATAAAACCATAATGATCTCTATTTCAATGAAAACACCCTCTTTATTGATAACGAGCTTAAGAAGACTTAGCTGAGCAAATTCCTAACAATACTCCCCCCAAGTTCTAAGCCATCTTTTTGTTCTCAAATGTCAGGTATGAATTTCTCAATGTCGTATCTTCATGAGACATTGCAAGTTTAAACATAACCATCCTACTGCTGCCCACCTCTGCATTCCACTTTATGTCCTGAAAATGGCTAAGACCTTTCAAAAGGTGTTAATTAATCTTTCAATAAGTTTCTATTTAATAGCTAGAATCTTGACCAAGCTATGTGAGCCTTATAAAACCTTAGACTATTTGGGAGCTACTAAGAAGACGGAGTCCAACAGATGTAAGTTTGGATTAGCTGGTGACCTAATAGTTGGTAAGGTATTTAACAATTCTCAGCCTTGGTGTCCTCACTTGTAAAAGAGGATCCAAAATGCATACAATAAATCCATTTTGAATGTTCGATGCCTGCCAGGCACTCTTCGTGTTTACAGGGGCAGACATGACAGACATGCCCCCCTGCTCCCATGGAACTTTTCACAGGACCTGGATACTAAACAAAGATTACATAATAAAGTCATTAATTCCAATTGCAATAATGGCATCCACTTCTGCCAATGCTGTGAGGATAAGAGAGGCAAGCAAATTCAAAACTGATGTCCTAATACTACTTATTAGTTTTGCTAACAGTCCTAACTGGAAGAGCTCCAGGCCGTGCCTTCGTTCCTCCCTTGCTTTTTGCCCATACTTAAGTGGTTAGAAGTAACGGCAAGCATGCGCCTTAGATGTGTGTCCTTTACAGCAGATGAGAAGGCAAGCATTCCTCCTATGTTGGGGACATGGGTTTAATTAACCTAAGAAGAGAAGATGGGGTACCTGGGTGGCTCAATCAGTTGAGTGTCTGCCTTCGGCTTAGGTCACGATCCCAGGCTCCCTGCTCAGCTCCCTGCTCTCCTTCTCACTCTGCCTGCTGCTCCCCCTGTTTGTGCTCTCTCTTTCTCTCTCTCTCTGTCTAATAAATAAATAAAATCTAAAAAAAAAAAAAAAAACCTAAGGAGAGAAGCTGAAATTGTTGCTAATTGCTGGCAAGAACAGTTTAGTGTTAACATTAACTGGAGTGAGCCCCAAGCCTCAGGGGAGTGGAAGGTGTGGGTACAGAGCTTGGCAGAGGGTCTCTGAATCATTTTATATTTATTTATTTATTTATTATTTATTTTTTTTTTTGCAAAGCGAAGTACGAAGCTTCTGAAGAGGGAGGGGACCCAAGAGTGTTTCCTGAGGGTTTCTGAGTCCTGATGTGCATCAGGACTTCCCTCTCCCACAGAGTGAAAGCATATTTTACCCACATATGGACATGATTATAATCGATGTGGATGCTGATGTGATTAATGCAGTATAGATTCCTTTAAATAAATTGTTGAATTCTTACCAGCATTTTTGTAATTACATGCTTTCTCTCAAATCTTATCCTGTCTCTTCCTGGCTTATACCCTTTAACAGCCCTTCATTGCACAGGATAAAGTCCAAATTCCCTCCTGGGCACTGCCTGATTCCGCTGACCTCCTTTGGCATGCATGCCACCCCTACCCCTGTCTACCCACCAAGTTCTAACATGAAGGCTCTTTCGGGCCATGGCTTTGAGCACTCACTGCTCAACTCAAGATTTGTTCTGGCATGAACAGATCTAGAGCTCCTGAGTGGGGAAAAATATCCACCCTTCCTGCAAGTGTCATGCCCTCTGAGGTGGGCATGTGGGTCCACTCGGGTTTCTGCTCAAGAGGGTCTCACCTTGGGCCAATGACTGCTAATCTAGACCATCTGTCCCGCCCCCCTTCTTTTTCTGGGATTCAGAAGTAAAGTCCCCCTAGCTGCTTCTTCTGTCACTGTTGTAGCAATCCTGCCTTACTGTCCCTCCATATGAGTGCACGAGCCATTTTCTGAATTAAAGCCATTTTCATCTCAAGGGTTTCAGAAAGAAACAATCTTGGAAGTCACAAAACTTCTTGATGTCCATTTTCTTCAGTGTTACATAGAAACCCAAACGCTATAATGGCCCATATCTCTACAAAGCTAGGCATGAGGATTATTCAAATCTCTGGGGAAAGAGTCATTGATAAAGATGGAGAGAGGCATTTTTGACTCCTCTTCCCACCCTAAAACCCTCCAAAAAACGAAAAAGGGAAACAACTCCATCTTTTAAAAGATGAGAAAAAAGGAACAATCATTCCATTTTTTTATTATGAAATTTCATGCTGATAAAAGGATTACTTCATGTATATGAACAATTTAACTAATCACAGTAAAATGAAGCATGTACCTACCAACCTGCTTTTAGAAAACCTGATGTAAGTAGTTCCTTAGACGGTCCTGTGTGGACTCGTCCTGTCACACGTCTTCCTCTCCCTCCAAGCAGTAACTACTGTCCTGAATTGTGTCTTAATCATTCCCTTCTCTTTCTTTAGAGATTTGTTCCTCATGTATATTTCCCTACACAATATATTTTCAATTGAGGGAGTTTTTGCATTCATGGAAATCACAGAGTATATTCTTCCATGACTTACTTTTCTTTTCACTCAACTGTATGTTTTTAAGACCCATCTATAGTTCACTCTTTTTTGTTTTTTAAGTTCATTTATCTATTTGAGAAATCTCTACACCCAACATGGTCCTTGAACTTATGACCCCAAGATCAAGAGTCACAGGCTCTTCCAATGAACCAGCCAGGCGCCCCAGTTCACTCACTCGTATTGATGAATTGCATTCCATTGTATAAATATATGACACTGTATTTACCCACCCTCCTAGTAGCTCATGATAGCTCATTCCTTTCCAGCTTTTTGTTATCACAGTGTTGAACATTCTTGTACCCGTCTCTAACTTCAATGACACAAAGAAGCTGTAGACTGCCAAGTAAATGTAAGGGCACTATTCTGGAAAGCCATTCTTTTTCTTCTTTTGTTTTTAAAAACTTACTTATCAGGACACCTGGTGGCTCAGTCAGTTAAGCATCAGCCTTCAGTTCAGATCATGATCCCAGGGTCCGGGGATTGAGCCCCGAGTAGGGATCCTTGCTCAGTGGGAAGCCTGCTTCTCCCTCTGCCTGCCACTCCCCCTGCTTGTGCTAGCTCTCTCTGTCTCATACAAATAAATAAAATCTTTAGAAAAAATAAAGACTTATTTATTTAAGAGAGAGAATGAGAGAGAGAGCATGAGCAGGGTCAGAGGAAGAGAGAGAATCTCAAGCAGACTCCATTCTGATTGCAGAGCCTGACTCGGGGCTCGATGCACAATACTGAGATCACAACCTGAGCTGAAACCAAGAGTCAGATGCTTAACTGATTGTGCCACTCAGTGGCGCCAAGAAAGCCCATCTTACAATTCACTGTTTGGAACCATAACTCGAGCATCTGGAATGACTCCAGAGAAGTAACTCCATCAAGGTGTGGCAGGATATAGGCAGTAGGAAGGTTCAAATCATGGAGAAGTCAGGTGTAAGTAACATATTCAGTATCTATGTCCCAGCCCCCTACCTGAGGGAATCTGCTGGGAGTGAGGAGAGACAAAGGAGGAGGAAAGAGGGCACAGTAATTATCAGAAAGCCTGGTATACACTGAAGGTTTGTGTTCCCTCAAAATTCCTATGTTGAAACCTAATCCTGAAATTGAGGATATTTGGGGGTGGAGCCTTTGGGAGGTAATCAGATGGTGAAGATGAAGCCCTCCTAAACGGGATTAGTGCCCTTTTAAAAGAGATCCCAGAGAACTCTCTCACCTTTTATACCACATATGGATACATCACAAAGATGTCCATCTACGAACCATGTGGAGTCTTCCCAGACACCATATCTGCTGGCATCTTGATCTTGGACTTCCCAGCCTCCAGAACTGTGTGGAAATCAATGTTGCTTTTTAAGCACCCAGTAAGTGGTGTTTTCTGAAAGCAGCCCAAACAGATTAAGACAGAGCCTGTCTTAGGGAGTGTTACCACACTGACTTCCTACATCCTGAAAACTGGAAGAATATGGCCCCAGACAAAGGCAAAAACAGATTTGGTGACAACGTTCAAGGAAAATCAACAATTTCAAACTGTGGTCTGTCCAGATCACTGGCCTCATCTTTCTCGAAACTGATTTTTAACAAAGTTGGTCTCTTGGGGCACCTGGGTGGCTCAGTGGGTTAAGCCTCTGCCTTCAGATCAGGTCGTGATCTCACAGTCCTGGGATCAAGCCCTGCATCAGGCTCTTTGCTCAGCAGGGAGCCTACTTTAACTTCTCTCTCTGCCTGCTTCTGCCTACTTGTGATCTCTCTCTGTCAAATAAATAAATAAAATCTAAAAAAAAAAGCTGGTATCTTTCATAGATAAGCAATAATCAGAAAAACTTATGCATAATTAATACAACTTCCAGTTAAACAAGCTGGTAGGCATAGCCTTTCCTCCCCGAAACCCTAACAAAATGACAATGAAGAAATATAAAAGGGCCTCGCCCCTGAAGAAGTGAGAGGCAACTAAATTAGCAAAGTAGAGGAAGATACAGCTTAAAGTGTCTGCAGATCCCAAGAAGGCATGAGATACTGTGTAAAGTGGGGGTGACGCATTGGGAGAAAACAGGCCTTTTCCTCCACCCCTTAAATCAAGGTGACCACCAATGCAAGCAGGAAACTGTACATTCAGTGTCTGTAGGAACTAAATCTGAAAGGCTCTTTACTCGGGGACACACATTGTAAAGGGACTGGCGATGTCTTGTGGAATTAGAAACATGGGGATCAAGAGTATACCCTCTCATATGACCCAGCAATTCCACTAGTGGGTATACACCTACAGGAATTGAAAATATAGGGGGTGCCTGGGTGGCTCAGTGGGTTAAGCCTCTGCCTTTGGCTCAGGCCATGATCTCAGGGTCCTGGGATTGAGCCCCACATTGGGCTCTCTGCTCAGCGGGTAGTCTGCTTCCCCCTCTTTCTCTCTGCCTGTCTCTCTGCCTGCTTGTGATCTCTGTCGAATACATAAATAAAATCTTTTTAAAAAGAATTAAAAATATAGGTCCACAAAAACTTATACACAAATGTTCATAGCTTTCTCATAATCAAAAGGTGTAAACAACCCAAATGTCCATCAACTGACAAAATGTGGTGTATTCATATAATGAAATATTATTTGCCCACAAAAAGGACTAAAGTACTGATACATGCTACAACATGAGCCAACCTTAAAAGCATTATGCTAAGTGAAAGTAGCCAATCACAAAGGAGAACTTATTTTATAATTATGTTTATATGAAGTGTCCTCGATAGGCAAATCCAGAGACAGAAAGTACATTAGAGGATGCCAGGAGCTAGGAGAGAGGAATGAGGGTGACTGCTAATGGATAGGGTGTTTCTTTTTGAGGTGACGAAAATGTGGAAACAGTAGTGACGGTTATACAACTCTGAATATACTAAAGACCAGTGAGCTGTACACTTTGAAAAGGTGGCTTTAATGGTAGTTGAATTGTATCTCCATAAAAAAAAAAAAAAGGAAGGGTAAAGTGAAAACCTGTGAAATCCTCCATGATTTAGCTTTAAATCCAGAGTCAAAATAAGAGATTTTAAATCATGCATCAGTTTGGTTACAATAGTAAATTACTGGAAACAATGGAAATGCCTGCCAAGAGACTGGATTTAAAAAAATATGCTATATCATGCCAAAGGAATGTGATAGAACTGCTTAAATAATGTGGGAGAAACATATCTCCTGACATAAAAACATATATGACATGAAGAAAACCAATTGCAAAAGAGAACATAGATTGTCATCTTATTTTGTAAGGGAAAATTATGTACACATCTCTCTGGAAGTATACATACCAAAATGTTAGCCATGGGGCAAAAGAAAAAAAAAGAAGAAGAAAGAAGAGCAGAGGAAGCCTGTCTCCTGAATGGTCGAAACTCCAGCCCCTTTCTCTCACTCTGCTCCTAAAGCATAAATGGCCTTCATCTCCCGAAATAAAGAAAAGAGAGCCATAAGCAAAAAGCAGATGAAAAACATACATCAGAAAAGGGATTACTTCAGGAAACAGAGTCCAACAAATAATTCTCCATGATCTTAAAGAATGTGAGATGAAACAATCTCTCTTTGACAAGAGAGCTCAAAGAAAAGATAACAAGAGTGCAAAGAAGAGATTCCAAGGCCACAGAAGAGGATGAAAAGTAGGCTGGCCTACTTCAGAAAGAAAGGGAGAAAAAGATAGTAATATCACAGAGATACACACACCAGCAGAAACAATAAGAACTGGAATAAATACAACTGAAAAAGTTTTCTGAATGAATACAGTTGATAACACAAATGAAAGTGAAATGGAAAAAAGCATTGTAAAAATATTTAGAGGAAGGATGATTAATGTGGAAGACATGTACAAAGGGTACAAACACAGATACAAAGGTTAAAATAAGAAAGATATACAGAGTACAAAAGCTGGATAGTTGGCGTTCCTAAAGCAGAAAATGGAACAGGAAAAAAATAGTCACAGATGTTCTAGAAGCTTTCCTGAAATAAAGATTTGAAGCTACATATTGAAAAGACAGACCATACCCCAGGAAAGAACTGATACAGATTGATCATAGCAAAATTTTCTAGTTTTTTCCCAGTGTTCATTCTCCCTTTTTCCATTACAGTGGAATGTTTTTACCTGCATATATAGTCACCCAGAATGAAGACTGTATTTCCAGTATTCCTGCAGTTAGGTAGGGTCATATGACCAAGTTTCGTCCAATGGGATGTGAGCAAAAGATTACTGTATGCAACTTCTGGATACATCCTTAAAGGGAAGGAATTTGATCTCTTTCTCTTTCCTTCTTCCTATTGGCTAGAGTATGTATCTTGGTCCTTGGGCAAGGACAATACCCTAGGGATGGTAAAGCAACAAAATCGAAAGAGCCTGAACCCCTGACCATTTCATTAGAGAATTGCTACTGTATCAGTTTATATCATTAAGTGAGAAACACATTTCTCTCTTCTAAAGCCACTGTTATTTTGCGTTTGTGTCTGAATTTCTACCCTAAGCGATACACTGATTACAGTATATATTGGTAAAGTTGCTGAATTTTAGAGTGAAGGAAAGAATCTTAAATATATCCAGGGAGAAGAAGCAAGTCATACACAAGGAATAAAAGTTAGTTAGCCTTTGGCTTCCCCCAAAGCAACACTCAATGCCAGAAGACAAAGGAGCAATATCTGGAAAGATCTGGGGAAAAGAGATAACCCCAAAATTTTTAATCAGTGTGCCCTTTAAGTATAATGATGCAGACCATTTGAAGCATGCAAGAATCTATGAGACCTGTAGGAAAACAGACTACTTGACGACAAAACCCCACCAATAAAGGGATGACTCCAAATGTAGGAATGGAGAAGTCATGGAAAAAGAACACTAATGAGCATCAATTCCATTTAGACACAGAGCCAACCAGACAACTGTGGCAATTGTGGTAAAAGAATGGAATTTAAATATTATTAACCTTTCCTATGTGAAAATGATACAACCAAAAAAATCTGGGGGAGGCAAGGGAAGAGGAAATGGGGAAAAGTACAAGTGTGTTAATGTCCTCACGTTTGTTGGCTGGAAGTCAACTGACATTGCCTAAAGGTGAAACATGCTTTTAAAAATGACTCAAAAATCTTAATGTCATCATTTTTCTTAATTTAACAGGCAATTTTTAGGAACCTGTATTTCTTGATGTCAAGAAATATTTTCTGAAGTTCATGAATTCCTTCAAGTTTTTTCTCCTGATAAATGTCATGCCTTTGTTGGAAAGAAAAATATGATCCCATTTGGGGGGGCGGTATAATGCTATTGTGGGTATTTCCATTCTCTGTAAAACTGTTTCTTTTTTTTTTCCCCTACACAGATGCAAACATACACTTTCTTTTATTCTCATTCCTATCTGTGTATTTGCAGATAGAAACATCTGGAACAATGGTCATGTTCCATGTCAACAATTAATTGTCTCTGAGTGATGAACTGGGACTAAATTTATTTTTGCTTTTTACTTTGCTTCTTGACAATTTTTGGCACGCTTCAAATTTTGATAATACAGTAAAAGTTCAATAACCAAGCACAGATCTGACTTGGAACATGCCAAATAATTAGAAATTCTGGATTGTTAGATTTCCTGGGTATTTGTCTATTGCTAGTCCAAGGCATCACAATTTCACAAATGTATTTGTAATGTACTTCATTAATCTGTTTTTCACCTTAAAAGTATAATGATTTGGGGCACGTGAATAGCTCAGTCAGTTGAGCATCTGCTATGGGTTTGGGTCCTGATCTCAGGGTCCTGGGATCAAGTCCCAAGTCAGGTTCCTTGCTCAGCAAGGGAGTCTGCTTCTCCCTCTCCCTCTACCCCTGCCCCTGGTTGTGCTCTCCACCCCCCCATACATAGATAAAATCTTAAAAAAAAAGTATAATCATTTAAGTATAATGATTTAACCCATATACTAAAATATACTCCAGTCATATTAGAAATATAATGACTATAGTAAAAACACACTAATAATTCAGACCCTGAAAATATAATACACATTGCAGATTATAATTAAATATATTACAGTAGATGCATTACCTGAGTGGAGTTAATTTGAAAAGTGAAATAAGGGGCACCTGGGTGGCTCAGTCAGTAGAGCATGCAATTCAACTCTTGATCTCAGGGTTGTGAGTTCAATTCCCACATTGGGTATAGCAATTACTTAAGGATAAAATTTCAAAAAAACCCCAAAAAACAAAAAAACAAACCACAGTGGGTGTTAATAGCCAAATAGGATTCTATCAGATGATTCTACTTGGCAAATTCTCAGTTGTTAGACAGTAAGGTCATTTCCATTTTTTTGCTAATATAAAGTTTGCTTACATCCTTAATTATTTCTCTGAGATAGATTCCTAGCAGAATCTCTGGGTCAGGGGAATGTGTATTTCACAGGAATGTATATTGTCCCAGTGCCTTCCAGAAGGTCCTAGATAGTTACGCACCCCCACCTGCACTTCAGAAAAGAAAGTTCAGGCCTTCCCATGGGGTGTTATTCTAGGAGAGATGAACTCTGAGCTTTCTTCTCAGGTGCCTGGAGAAGTGCACTCACTAACTGAAGACTTAGATCCTAACGCATGCCTTAGAGACTGGCCTGTGGGGGCGGGGCTTTGGGCCATTTAAAGCGTCCATGTGGTTACACCCCAGTGGACAGATCTAGCCCTAATTCCCATGACTGCCTTGTCCTTCATCTCCCATTTCCCCCACACTGCTCTTCAGAAGCCAGCTCCACACGGACATGCTTGTGCTTGGCACCACAGTGTGTTTGAATTGCTCAGTTCATCGGTACCCCGCCCTCCCAGACAGGAGTTCCCTGAGGACCGGAAGCACAGCTGGCTGGTGTGCACTGATCCTGTGAGGAGAGCAGCGCCAGGCACCTTGTTTAATGCAGGCGTAGGAGAGGCTGGGAATCGGAAGCCGCTCACGGATCTACTAGACGCAGCAGAGTCTTCTGATGGTCTCTGCCTCTTCCTCACTCTCCCTATAACCTGCGATAAGCCAACTTTTGCTTCTCACCCTTCCCTCTCCGAACCTCTGGGCTACCAGGCCTTATTCAGGTCCTTAGGGCATATCACTTAAACAATTAGCTTGCCCCTTAGCTGATCGCCTTGCTTCCCATGTCCTCCTGTTTTAGCTCATTAATTCTCACATTCACTGGTTCTCTTTTGAACATAAAGATCTGGCCCCACCATACCCCCGCTCATAAACCTTCAGGGCTTCCCATTCCCTCTAGAATCCTTTCAGTGGAGGTTTTGGCCCCTTTCACCTTATTTTGGCCTTCTCTTCCCCCAGGGCTCTGATGACCCTATTTTAAAGAATACAGAATGAGTCAAAATCCCCTCCCCTGCCCTGGGCCAAGAAGCCACCTGTTCTAATGCCTTCCTTTGTGCATGCTCTTTCCTGCACCTAGAACGCTTTCTCCTGTCTAAATTTCTGTTGAAGGCCCACCTCTGCGGTCACCTCCTCTATGAATCTTTCCCTGTCTTTCTAGACAGCTCATCACTCCCTCACTCTCCCAGAATTCTTTGTTCACATCTTAAAAAAAAAAAAATTTTTTTATTCCGTTGATTATTAGCATTTTCCTAAAACGTGTGAATTCCTAAAGGGCGAGGACTGTGTTGTCTTCATCTTTGTATTTCTTGAGCCCAGAATCACCTGCCACAGTCAGTATTTATAGGAGAAGCTGCTTGTTGCCTACGTCAACATTCTGTAGTGAGCGCATTTGGGGCAGCAAGCCACCGGCTGAAAGACGTTGCCTAGATTCCTTTGTGGCCAGGTGTGCCCACGTGATTAAGTTCAGTACATTAAAATGTTAGTGGAAATATTAGGTGGGACTTTCTGGAAGTGTCCTTAAAATAGAAGGGAAATAGGGATGCCTGGATGGCTCAGTCGGTTAAATGTCTGCCTTCTGCTCAGGTTATAATTCCAGGGTCCTCAGATCAAGTCCTGCACTGGGCTCCCTGCTCAGCGGAGAGCCTGCTTCTCCCTCTGCCTGCCGCCACCCCCCACCTGGCTTGTGCTCTCTCTCTCCCTCTCTTTCTCACAAATCAGTAAAATCTTTAAAAATAAATAAATAAACAGAAAGGAAAATAGCTTTCTTACTGTTCATCTTTCCTTCTTCCTCAAACGCAGTGGTGACAGCTGTGACTTGAAGAGCACTACTGAATGGTAAGGGATCTTGGTTTCCTGATGACCAGAAAGGCTCCCTACTAACCCCAGTTTCCCTACTTCCAGGCTTCTTTTACCTTCTTAAAAAAAAAAAACATGCCGTTATTTGCTTTTTCCCTCTGATACGTAGCCATACATAAGCCTCACTGTTTCAGTAGCCAATAAATGTTTTTTTGAATATGGAGTAACTCCCCAATTATGTAACTTTTATTTTGTCTTACCTACCAATGAACTTGGAATAAGACTTAGCACTTCATTCTATCAATGTATCATCACACTTTCCTTGTGTCTGTCTTTATTTTTTAATTGTCTTTGCCTATATTTTATTAATTTTGTAAAGTTGATTCAAATTCTTCTAAAATACAGATGGGGTAAAAATTGTAAATAAGTCAACTTTCAATTTAAAATATAGACAGTCGGAGTGCCTGGGTAGCTCAGTCAGTTAAGCATCTGTCTTTAGCGCAGGTCATGATCATAGAGTCCTGGGGTTGAGCCCCACATTGTGGGGGGGGGGTCCCTGCTCAGAGGGGAGCCTGCTTCTCCCTCTGCCCCTTCCCCTGCTTGTGCTCTCTTGTTTTCTCTCTGTCAAATAAATAAATAAAATATTAAAAAAAAAATAACGTGTCGACGATCAAAGCTGAAAGTCCAGGATTGGGGAGCAGCGGAATCACACCCACATACTGGAAAGTCAGCTCTATTGTCCTCCTGGCACTTCCCCCACGGATTGCCTCAGAAGGCTGTCTTCCAGGCAGGGTTTGTCAACATCTTTCTCTGTGACACAATGTGCGCCAGGGCATACACCCCCAAAGGAAGTTTCGTTTTGGCAAGTGGATGTGGCAGAGAGCTGGCAGAAAGGCTGAGTAGGAGGAGAGGAGATGAAGAGGTTGACTGCTGAAAGGTGCACAGAATTGAAGAATAGGACCTTGCTCTATGGACGGCCTAGGGATAGAAGTGACAAGCAAAGATCCTGTGACTAATGTTTTAGCTGCGATTCTTTCAGACTCAAGCAATAAAAAACAACTCTGACAAGTTTAAGCAAAAGAGAGAGCATGGCATCCATGGAAGAATCTCAGATCCTCGGTATAGACATCTTATGACGGACAGTGAAGACTGACTTCCCGCAGACCACACCCTTTCATCCCCTCACACACCCATACCAAGCCCTACATCATCCCAGCAAATTATGTTCCCTTTCCTTCGCAATTCTATCTTCCCTAGAGTAATGTCTTGTTTTTTCATTTGCCTGGTTTTCTACATACTTCTTGTTAATCCAATCTCAGTCTCCTCCCTCCCCCCAGAGTGGTATAAATCTCTCATGTTCAAGCAAGGAATGTTCCATCAGTTTCATCATCTTGAAGAAATCTCTCCAGTGCCTTTGACCTGATCTTGTCTTCTGTGGACCGCTCTTTAGGACTGCTGTGTAGGGTGGTCATGGGGTCTCACTAGACCATCACCCTGGGGGTGTCTTAGATGCACACATATTTAAGAGTGGGGCACAGAAAAGTTCCTTAGAAACTCCATATATACATGTGGGGCTTGCCACGTGGGGACTTAAGTGCAGAGTAATCAGTCTGGGCCAGTTCATTGGGAAACCTCTGATGTCAGGATCTCTAGGTTTTTTTCCTTGGGTTTATTCAGACTTCCCAGAAAAGTTTCTGCCCGTCTCATGCTCAGAGGGAATAAGTCTGTCAGTGTTCTAATTGTGGAATGGGGAAAGAGGGTGGTGGTCTCCTTGTTTAGTATGTAGGATGTCTCTGCTTAAGCCCCCTGTTTCCAGTATGCCACCTATGCCCTCAACTGTGACTGATGTCTTCCACTCCAGAAAACCTGTTTTTATCCTTTCCTAGTGGAAGAGTCTAGTGTCTCCTACTGGGGTAGAGGGGGAACGGCCACTCACCAAGGGCACTGGAGGAGAGGTTAGGTGTCTAATTGCTTCTTAAATCAATACTTAATCAGTCTTCCTGTTTTTATGCTCAGCTCTACCCTTACTCCAAGTAAGTGGTACCTGCTGCCGCCTATCTCCTGGGGGTTCCGTGTATTAGGGAGAGTGTACTGTTTTTTGGTTTTTTGGTTTAGGATTCCGCTTTCTCAGGTCTTCTAACTCAGTTTTCACGCAGCCATCTAACTTCCCAGCTTACAGCATTTTGTTGCTCTGTCTCCTCCCACATTCTCTTTGTTCTTGTTCAATTATTCCTTTTCACAAATTCCTCCACTATTGTTTTAATGTATTTAAGGAGGGAAATACTGATTTCTGCTGACTTTCGTTGTTTAAAATTTTATGCAGGGAAATACACTTGCCTCTCCCAGTCCCTAGGAAGTGAGCATTTGTCCAGTTTGAATCACGTGTCCCTTCTAAGCCCATTAACTTTGGCAAGGAGGGTAGAGGCTGTGGCTGGTGTGGGAGGGACCAATAGTGTGGTGGGGGTAAGAGTCATATTTTACTAACAAGGCAGCTCCCATGGTCATGGAGTTGGGGAAGGGCAGTCCCTAGGAAAGGGACCCTGGAGGGGTAGCTCTTCGGGATCTACTACAGCCAGGAAATAGGAGATTGAAATCTGAAGCTCTTCTTATTCTCCCCAAGCTGTTGGTCATCATAATGAGGGTAGAAACGAAATGGAGGGGACAGGAGGAAGAAGGAGCCATCACAGCTGCTGGGGTAGGTAGGAGCTGCTATCCACAGGAAACTTCTGAGTCTTGGTTACTACTGGATTAGATAAGGGAGAAGACAGTCTACACACAGCAGCTGGAGCAGGCAGAGGGACAATGGGGAAGTCTCCGAGAGGGCGCTGAATGGGAAAGCCATGGGAGAAGCACTGCTTTGAGGAAGAAGGTTGTCCTGCCAAGTGCTCATCAAGAATTTCTGGGAGGGATGCCTGGGTGGCTCAGTCAGTTAAGTAGTCTGCTCCTTGCTCAGTGAGGAGCTTGCTTCTCCCTCTGTCTCTGCCTGCCACTCTCCCTGCTTGTGTGAACGTGCTCTCGCTCTCTCTCTCTCTCTGACAAATAAATAAGTAAAATCTTAAAAAAAAAAAAAAAAAAGAAAAGAATTTCTGGAAGTCTTTCAGGGGTGGTTCACAAGGACTTAGGAATACATGGGTCCTTCTCTGGCATTAGGGCTGCCCCAAGTCTCCCACCAGATATCTTCTGGGCACCACTCGTTTCCAGGAGATACTGGCATTTTGTGATGCCAACATGGCACATGGTTCTGTTACAAAATGGGGCAAGACCTGTTCATCCCTACTGTGTTACATTTGTCAGAGGAATCCTAAAGCCACTATGGCCACACCAACTTGAAAAAGAAAAGCGTTTTTCTATTTTTTCATTTCTAACCTGACACATGGTGCCTCTCTCCTCCAATGGACATGACTCTCCTCCAACAGCTCTTGCCTGGCCCAAGCTGGTCCTGCCTTTGGATTGAGCGCTTTCCCAGAAGTCTGCTCAGTCACTCAGGGAAATTAGCTGCCGGGCACACTCTTGCATATCCAAGCCTCAATTTATACCCCAGATTGTGTTTTCCTGGTCTTAATGTGTTCAGTATATTTTCTGGAAAATGTTGATTAATGTTGAGGAAATTCAACAAAGAGGTGGTTATGTGCTGCCTCTCACGCTCCTGGGAGTGAACGTGGATGAGATTCAGTATATGTGTGTTTGAGGACAGTCCTTTGTAAACTAGGACTAGCCCTGCTTTCTGTTGTGGTAACAGAAGACCTAACCTAGTGGGGGCTTGACCGTGGAATGAGCAAATGGGCCAGCAAGCCAAATCTGGCCTGTCCCCTGTTTTTGTAGAGCCCATGAACCAAGAATGGTTTTTACATTTTTATGTGATTGAACAAAAATTGAAAGAAAAATGAGGGGACTCCCGGGTGGCTTAATTGGTTAAGCATCCAACTCTTGATTTCAGCTCAGGTCATGAGTTCAGGGTTGTGAGATCAAGCCCCACAATAGGCTCTGTGCTGGGCTCGAGCCTGCTTAAGATTCTCTCTTTCCCTCTCCCTCTGCCCCCGCTCCCCCACACCGCCCCTGCTTGCACACACTCTTCTCTCTCTCCCTTTAAGAAAAAAAAGAAGAAGAAGAATGAGATCTTGTGACATATTAAAGTTATATGAAATTCAAGTTTCAGTATACATAATAAAGTTTGACTGAAACATAGCCATACTCTTTCCTTCATGTGTTGTGTACGCTGTTTCCACGTGACAACAGTAGAGTGAAATAGTTGTGACAGACATTATGTAACCTGCAAAGTTGAAAATATTTACTATCTGGTTCTTTACAGAAAAGACATGCTGATCCCTGGCTTAAATCATCAAAAAAAAAAAATCTTTATTTACTTAAAAAATCTGAAAATAGGCATCTCCAGTGTTTAGTTCAGCAGTTGCACAAAGTCCAGATGCTGAGTTGTCATCTCTAAAACTCTCTGTCTGGCCTCATAGTCACAAGATGGCTGCATCAGCTTGGAGCAGGATTTACTCACAAGATCACATCCAAAGCCAGGAAATGAAAGAACAGCAAGGAAGCAGAGAAGGGCCTTATTAGCATGCTTCTTTAAATTTATCAGAGAGGAACATTTTTTTTTTTCTCGAATTCCCCTGAAAAGACTTATCCTCAATCTCATTGGCCAGCACTAAGCCACTAGGTCATCCCATCCCATCCCATCCCATCATGGTAGTGGCTGAAACAGAAGGGGGAGGACACGGCCATTGAGACATTGCATGGCTGACTGTGTGACTGCCACCTGCACGAGCTATGGCTCTGACCAGCTGGTGAGTTAGGGTCAGGGGTGTGAGAGCCAGCTGTGAACATCTCTTCCCTACCCTGCATTTAGTGAGGTCTCATGGGTAGCTGGAAGCCAGCTGAAACTGACCATGGTGGGAGTATTGATGTCACAGAAGTCACCTAATACTATAAATCAAGTGGTTTTATCAGCACACCGCGGATGAGGGATGATTTTTATTTGGCTTATACTTTCCCAAGTTTTCTACAAGAACCCAAATTAATTTTATAACAGGAAAGATGTATTTATTTTATTTATTTTTTTAAAGATTTAATTTACTTATTTGAGAGAGAAAGAAAGAGATCACAAGCAGGGGGAGGAGCAGAGGGAGAGAGAGAAGCAGACTCCCCGCTGAGCAGGGAACCTGATACGGGCCTTGATCCCAACACCCTGGGATCCTGACCTGAGTTGAAGGCAGACGCTTAACTGACTTAGCCACCCAGGCGCCCCAAAAGCAGAGTCTTGAAGAGGTATTTATACAACCATGTTCATAGCAGCATTATTTACAGGAGCCCAAAGGAGGAAGCCACCCGGTGTCTATCTATAGATAGAGGGATTAAAAAAAAAATAAGGTATATACATGCATGCAAAGAAATACTGTTCAGCCTTTAAAAGGAGAAACTATTTTGACACATGCTACAACATGGATGAAACTTGAAGACATTATGCTAAGTGAAATGAATCAGTCACAAAAAGATAACGTATGATTCCAATTACATGAGATCCCTAGACTAGCAAGTTCAGAGACAGAATAGAATGGTGGTTGCAGGGGATGGGCGGGGAGGGGAGAACAAGGAGATATTATTTACTGGATACAGAATTTCAGTTCTGCAAGATGAAAATAATTCTAGAAATTGGTTCCACAACAATGTAGATATACTAAACATTACTTGACCCTATACTTAAAAATGGCTAAGATGGTAAATTCTATGTTACAGGTATTTTACCACAACTAAAATTTTTTTTAAATTTTCTGGGGACAGTGTCTAGAGGCATTTTAGAAGACCCAGCATCTGACGTACCATCGCAGGCTGTCCTACGACACAGCCTAAAGCCAAAATCAATTCACGGTCCCACGGTCCCACCTGCCTGAGAGAAAGGTCCACTTTGCTGTCTGACAAAACCAGGCTGTCCCAAGCTCCTGGTAATAGAATTGTTTCCCTTTATACCGAGAAGGTTAGGAAAGCACCAAAACATGTGTGGGGCTTTCCTGGGCTGACATCGAGGAGGTCATGCTGTGAGACCTCACCTTCCTATCAAGTTGCCTCAAATGAACAAACATATCAGACATGGTGGTTCCATGTCTGCTAAATGTGTCCACAATGAGATCAAATATACTTTCCTTACTGAGTATCAG